TTTTAGTAGCTAAAACAAATATTTTATTAACATTAACAGCCACACGACATTGTGCAATAAGATGTGTTAGTGGAATCAAAGAAGACGAAGAAGACGAAGATTGATTTTGATTATTTAAAATACATTTAATAATAAATGTTGAATGAGATTTGGATGGATCATCAAAATAAACTAAATAATCTCCACCAAATTTGTGTCCATTTGAAATAAACAAATTCTTTTCATATAAATCACAAAAAATGTCAGAATGTAATTGTTGAATTGGTTGAAGAGTTTGTTTAAATTCTTCATGATTAATGATTTGAAATGAAAGATTTGTTCTTGTTGATTGTAATGGAAGTTGAATTAACATAAAATCAAATGTAAATTGTTGAAGACGTTGTTGAATAACATTTAATAAAAGATTTTGTTCATTAAGATCTAATGATTTTGATGAATTGATCCAAGCATTATTTGTTTGAAGTAATGAGTGAAGAAATGAATCGTTTTGATCAACATCAGTTTGTTGTTGATTTGTTGTTTGTAGAATAGTTTGTCGATTTAATAATATTTCATTGATTTTTTCATGTCCATTTTGAACTTTTTGTTTTTCATATTGATTTTCTAGTTGTGAAATATATTCAAAATAATCATTTTGATCATCTGAAATGGGAAAAGTAATTTTATATAGGTGAATGATATTTTTCATCGATAATAAATAACATTGTTCATAAGATAATTGTAATGGTAAACCAAGTTGATTATTTTGATGAGAATAATCAGGTAGATTTCCTGTTAAACAACCAACGATTCGATATTGTTGACGAAGTGTGCGAATGGAATCAGGATTAAATATAAGACCAGAATCATTGTTATTAAATAAATAACAACGAATTTCACTTGACATTTTTATGTTTAAGTGAAATTAAATCAAAAATAGATTTATTATTTTGATTAAAATAAATATTCAAGATTTTTATGAATGCGACGTTTTAGAGTAAATGAAATAGATATGTTTGATTTGATTTGTTTGAGATACTTATTGTTGGTTATTTTGGTTATTCAGTTATTCGTAGAGAACAAAGATGACGCCAGTTAGTCAACATATAAATTTAGAATTTTGTGAATAATTACTTAAAAGAATTGCAATGAAATTCTATTCGAAATCCAAATAAGAAGAGATTATAAATGATTGAGTAGATTTATTTATACTTGGGAAAATATGATGGTTTTTACAAGAGAATTCTTATGTGAACTGATACGACTGTAATTGTTTAGTTCATATTTGAGAAGTTGATTGTTGTGAGATGAGTGTAGATGTTTAATTGTATATCTATTAATTTGTTTTAAGGTATTTAGTGAAATATTTGGAGATGAGATAGTTAGATTTGAGGATAAATGAAAGAAAATATATGTAACAGTATTATAATGTAGAATATTATTTGATCATTAAGTTTATTATTATTTTTGAAGTATTCTCTGTATGGATGTGTAATAGATAGTTATACTAGTTAATTATAAGATAAAGAAAGAAAAGTGAATAAGAATGTATGTGAATAGATAATTCTTGATTTGATTTTGACAATTTTTCAAGAGTGTCTTATTTATATCAGTTTGGTCGTGATTCTTTTTATGAATAGATCAAATTCGAATATTTCGATTCGATGTGTCAAGTGTTGAATATATGAGTATTTCGGAAAGATTGTGAGAGAAAAAATCTTTGTCTACAGTAGTATGAGTATTAATTATTAAAGTAAATTGAAATGTAGGAGTATTGTTTGAAGAAATTGTTAGTCTTTTTATGCATAGGATCGATTGTCTTGAAATAGTTGATTATGAAAAGTATGTTTCAGATTATAGTAACGATATCCGTAAAAGAACGACATAGTTACGAGAATACTCTTTTTTTTATAAATAGTTCAACTGTAATTCGTATATACTGAAGTGCATCTTTGATGCAAGTAAAGTTAAGTATAAAAAAGTTGAAGTATATTCGAAACAAACATATAGTTTAGAACATCGAGAATTCCTCTAGTCAAATATAACATACATTTTCTTTTGAAATCAGAAAAAAGCCATTATCAAAGTTCCGATAATTCTTCGTCATTTCTACAATTTAATAATTTCAAACGAATGAATAAAATTTCTAAGTTTACTTTGATTGACTAGTAGCGTCATCTTTTATTATATTCCTCTATACGTGCGCTGTGGATAACCCATAAGTATGAAATAGCAACAAACAACCAACACTCATCGTTATAACCTTTCATGACGAGTACAAATACACATGAAGAAATTATAACACATATTTTTTAAATGATTTTTTTTATAGATATACATTTTACGTAAGACAATGCCTGTACTCAAAGGTTTGACATGGCAATCACTTAAAGCGAATTATTCTTTAATTCCGCTTTTCTCCATTGTTACTATCGGTATGGCAATGGCGTTTGGACATGCATTTCGCAGTTTAGCGTTTGCAACAGATGTTAAATGTAATCGACGAAATCCTGATCATCCATGGGAAGCACAAGTCAACGATGATGGATCGTTTAAACATGCAAAATATCTTAAAATTCACGATTACCGTAAATTAAAGAAGAGTGAATATGAACCAGAACTCAATGAATAAACAAATCCTCGAACAGTTCTATTCGTTTTTTTTTGTCTTTCCTAACATTGATCCTTCAAACTGTAGATCTATTGTAATGAACAGAAGTAGTTTACATTATCCAGATTTTTCTGTTTGTCCTTTTCGATTCAAATAAAACAACCAACCTACCACCAATCCGATTTGTTCTTTGTATTTTCAGATGGCTTACCAGACTCGACCTGTCGAACAAGCTCGACCTCTTGAACAAGCTCCATTAGAATTTCCCTATATTGGTAGATTAGAAAAAATAAACCTATAGATATTTATTCTTTAAAATAAATTCTATAATTTAGGTGATGTTAGTCAATATGAACGTATTGACAAGATTGGCCAAGGAACATTTGGGTAAATAAAAAGATGGAGTTTGTTTTTTTTTTGAAAATTCTTTTTGTTTGTTTAGGGAAGTATTTAAAGCTCGTTGTAAAAAAACCGATGATTTTGTTGCAATGAAATTAATTTTAATGGATCAAGAAAAAGAAGGTTTTCCGATAACAGCATTACGAGAAATAAAAATTTTACAAGAATTACGACATGATAATATTGTTCGTCTTATCGAAGTTTGTCGATCAGCAAGTATGTTTTGATATTTGTAAATACAGTTGCGGTGAGATTAAGAAGTGCTCATGAGTAACATACTGAACCTAAAGATTCAACTTTGGGTTTTTGTACTAAGTAAGAAGAGAAATAAACACAAGTAACGCTCGTCCGAGAACTCGCTTAGCTCTTTCTCATAGAAATACATCCTCTTCACATTTACTGGAAAAACAATTGAAAATAGATTTTCGATGTTTTTTTGACATATGCACCCTCATTACCCTCCCCCTTCATCAGGATCACCCAACAGATCTCAGGTTCGAAGTCCCCACATCGAAATACCTCTAGAAATGTCTTTTTCGAAAAATGGGTTCTCGATGTTTTTTGACCTTGCGAACATACAAACAAGCAAACAATCAGACAATTTATGTTTACTGGACTCTTTTCTACGAGAAAGAGAACTTGCGTTGTATCTATGATTTTTGTATAGGAGTTTCTCCTGAGAAGATGAAACTAAAATTTGTTAATAAACGTGTTTATTCATCAAGAATATTTTTTCTTCTAGTGGATAAATCATCTCGAAGTAAATTCTATTTTATCTTCGAATTCTGTGATCACGATCTAGCTGGTGTTTTACGAAATGCTCATGTTAAATTTAGTCTTGGACATATTAAATCCATCATGCAACAATTATTAGATGGTAAATTTTAGAAAAAAAAAATCTTTATTTCGAATATTTTTTTAGGTTTATATTTTATTCATAAAAATCATATTATTCATCGGTAAATTTTCTAAATAAAAAAAAATATTTTTCTATTTTATCAATTTAAAATTATAGTGATATTAAATCAGCCAATATTTTAATTACACGTAATGGTGTTCTTAAACTTGCAGATTTTGGTTTAGCTAAAGTAATTACACCACCAAAACGTATGTTAACTTATATTCAATCGATAAAAAGAAATTTATTTTATTCTTCTTTCTAGCTAATCATCAAAATCGATATACATGTCGAGTAGTTACACTATGGTATAGAAAAGATATAGTTTTGTTTTAAAATATATAACGTGTTTATTTTATATAGGTACCGTCCACCAGAATTATTATTAGGTAAATAATAAAATGAAGTTTGAAAAAATTTATTTTATTGTTAAATAGGTGAACGTGATTATGGTCCAGCTATTGATATGTGGGGTGTTGGATGCATTTTCGCTGAAATGTGGATTCGTTCTCCTATTATGCAAGGTAAAATATTTTTAATAACTTTTTCCCCCTTCAGTGAAACATGATTTATCTGTTTAGGCAATAGTGAACAACATCAACTTGAATTAATATCTCATTTATGTGGTAGTATAGAACCAAGTGTTTGGCCAAGTGTGACTAAATTACCATTCTATACAAAATTAAAATTACCACAAAATGAACGTCGTAAAGTTCAAGATCGTATGAAACCATATATTCAAGAACCATTAGCACTTGATTTAATTGATAAATTATTAACATTAGACCCAAAACTACGTATTGATGCTGATAATGCTCTTAATTCAGATTTTTTTTATTCTGAACCACCATTAGCTGAATTAAAGCCACTTTTATCAAAATATCCATCAATGTTTGAACTTAAAGAAGTTTCACGTAATGCACATAATCAACAAATGCAACAACAACAACGTATGAAGCAAGCAAGACCAAATGTGCCTAATTTGCCATCAGAAACCATCTATTGAAAAATTACGATTTATTATTACTATTATTTTTTTTCTCTCATTTTGTTAATGCTGTTGTTGTTTATGTCCTAGTCGATGTTAAAATTTAAAAAAATATCTATATATGTACAGATTTATAAACACAAGCTGTTTTTTTCTTTTTTTTTGGCTTTCAGATGTCAAATAGAGTTATTGATCCAGGTGTGTCGATTAAAACTTATGATATTCTTAATTGTGTACGTAGAATTATTTGATTTCGATGAGAAAAATGTTGAGATTCGAAAGCAGTTTCATAACATTTGTGTCTTAATTGAAGATGATTGATTATGTATTAAATATTCCATAGAAACAAGATAGTGAAGTTGCAACCTTGAAATTTGAATGTATCTTCTAAGATAATATTCTGATTGAGAATCATTAAAATGCAATGTGCTACTTTCGTGACTACGACTCTGTTAAGTCTAACGAGGGAACCACCTGAGGTATCAAAAAGCTTTTGAGCTGAAATTCTGCCAACAAGTAGAGGATATGTGCCCAAGTTGATGTTTGACTGAGATATAGAGCCGTATCTGTGGGGTAAAATCAAAGTTTCGAATTTAGGCCTAAAACTTTGTCCACACTAAGACCTCAATCAGACAAGCTTGCTTACAAAGTTTCAGAAATTTTAGACAGATTATCTGCGAGATATGAATCCATCGAAATATTCATGTGAAATCTAATATCTATAAGAAAGCATCTTTATGCTAACATACTTGCATCTGGAAGACAGTCTTTTCGAAATTTATGAAACTTTGTAGGTGAACTTGTTTGATTAAGGTCTTGGTGTGGACAGAATTTCAGACCTAAATTCGAAACTTTGATTTTACCGCACAGATAGAGCTCTATATCCTAGTCAAACATCAACTTGGGCACATATCCTTTTAAGCTTTTTCTAGTCTATGTATCCTCTACTTGTTGGCAGAATTTCAGCTCAACAGCCTTTTGATACCTCGAGTAGTTTCCTCGTACGATATCATATGCATAACATTTTTTAGCCTTCTAAACGATGAATAAAATAGCATTTTTCTAAGTAAGGAACAAAGAGATTAAAAAATTCGCCTTCATGATTTTTTCTTTCTCAAACTAACAGACAGTCTATCTATGAAATGAAACACAATTAAGCTGCCTACTTGTATTATAAATGAAAAGATCCTAGGATGTTTCTGGAAAGCTATTTAATCCAGATTGTCTTCTTCTGTTACAAATGATCTTATACAATATTGTTTTAGGATGTTCGAACCCGGAAATCTCGATCGTCAAATATAGTTAGTGCATTAACAACCAGTCAGGTAATAAGAAAACAAATGATCAAATATATACAATTTCAATCTTTTTCCTATTTAGTCTATACCTCAAACAGTTATAACTGATGAGTATGTTAAAAAAAGTGAAGTACCACCTTATGATATTCATCAACGTGAAGCTAAACGTCAACGACAAGTAAGCTTTGTTTAAAATTTATTTATTCTATTTTTCTCTTAATTTCATATTTGTCAGGTTGAACGAAGTAAAACAAAAGGTAAAAATTGGTATAATATGCCAGCACCAGAAATAACGGAAGAAAAGAAAAATGATTTAATCGCCATTCAAATGCGTGGTGGTTTGTATGCCGATAAATTTTTCAAAAAAGGAAGTGATACCAAAGGTCTTCCAAAATATTTTCAAGTAAATTATATGAAAAACAAAAACTATTTCTTATTTAATTCGATTTCTTTTCTCTTCTTCAGACTGGTACTATTGTTGATAGTCCTGCTGATTTCTATCGACGTATACCGAAGAAAGATCGAAAGAAAACAATTCTTGAAGAACTCTATAATGATACTAAAGTTAAAAAGTATGTTTTTTTATTTATTTATTCTTCTATTATTCACAATTTATTGTTTATTTATTTTAGATTTAGTAAAAAACGTTATAGTGAAATTAAAGAAAACAATCGTCGACGTTTTTCTGCTTTGAAAAATATGAAACGTTTGAAAAATAAAAAGAAATAAGCATTTTGTTTATTTAAATAAAAGAGAGACAAAAAAAAATGAAAGAGAAAGTCGTTAATTTATTTTTCAAAAAAACGTAAAAATTCATATAAATCAATTTTTCCTTGCCTATTTGTTGCACATTCAGCAATCATCTAAATACAAAAATGAAATCTAAGATAAACAAAAACAATTCGTAATTTTATTTACCGCATCGATTATATCATTTTCAAGTGGTAAATTTATTTGTCGCAATAAATCTGTTATACTTTCTCGAGATAAATAACCAGAACGATCTTTATCATAACGTAAAAACATCTGACGAATTTCTTCATGATTTGTTATACGCATAGATTTTAATTTATTACGAATTTCAGCATATAAAAGAATAAAATCGCCTGGTTTACGTTGAACATGAACATTTGTATTAAGTCGAGCATCGGGACGACCTTGTTCATTACTTAAATGTTGTCGTAAAGAATCAATAGCTGACGATGAAAATTGTTCAGGATGTTCTTCAGCATATTTTAATACAAATAAATCAGCTGAACGAATTATAAAACGTTGACGAAATATTTCTATCATCGCACCAATATAAAAATCTGATGGACCATAATACTGAGGATGTTCAGGTGTAGAATCTATATAAGATAATTATGCATTAATATATATCTATGTATGATGTACCTGGTTTTGCTACACGTGTTCGTTCGAGAAAGCGACCACCAATTACACCAGTATTGCGTTGTGGTGGTTCATGAATGCTGATTGTATCATCACCAAGACGATAGCTAATAATAAATTTACGTGTTTTATCAATTTCACGTGCACTATCCTAGAAAATACATATATATGTTACATAAAAATTCTTGTTATTTTTTTTTATACTAGAATAGCTTCATAACGAAGTACACGATGATCATTTTCCATTAATTTTACATAATCTTTTTTCGGTCGATCAGGTTGAAGACGTAAACAATTCTGGAATGAATCTTCTAATGTACCAAAACCATTATATGGTGGAATTTCCTAATGAAATAAAAACATGAGATATCTCCTTTTCTGTAATTAAATCTAATTTATAATTATACCATTTTAGCAGGTTCTTCCGGTGGTTCTTCAACATTAATAGGTTCAAAATTGCTAACACCAAAATTTTTTGTATAAAATGTCTTTGTAAATAAATCACAATCATAAAGGTGAAAATCACGTCCATATATATTCACTGTTTTACCAATCATTAAATCAGATGGTTTAAAATAATTTTTTATTTCAGTATCAGCTAATTCAAGAAAGACATGCGGAAAAGTACCTAAAGAGAAGGAAATGATGGTAATAAAAGTCAGCTTTTATATTTTATCAACTTTTGTGAACATTTTAAGATGGGGGAGAGGAGGAAGAACCACCGAGGGTTCATGATAGACCTGCCAAGGTAGTCAATTTAGGTCAGAATATTCAGCCAAAACTCAAACTTGGGAAAGGGAGAGAGCCGATCTCTTCCCTCGGGTTCGCGACAGCGCTGAAGATAAAAAAAAGTTAAATCTTACTGTTTTAGTGTATGACAGATATGCTTGCGCTACTTTAGCTCTTTCGATTTAAACACTTCTAGACAATCACTGAGGTTTGCAACTCTTTGAAAATGATTACTGTTGATAATGAAAAAGAATAAATACTTCGGATAGTTTATTCAAGAAATATAACACTCAACTGATTCTATTAGGAATAAAGCTGATTGAGATTTTTAATTACGGGTTCTATCTTACAATATTAATATCTGTAATCTTTTTTTGATTGAAATCAATAGGACAGATATATTATTTTGCGAAATAATCGGGAGAAAGATATAATGTATTAGGTGTCCCAGACGCCTGGTAATCCCTCCAGGTGTTCGGAATTTTTTTTACCACTTTTAACGGAACTCGTAAAAAATGTTAGTCAGGAAACCACAGTTTAAAAAAATACAGGGAAGTCGGAATGAAATGCTCGATAATATGTAAAACATTGTCAGGAAATCGGGTGAGGGTGTGTAGTATAAGAGAAGAATGACTTATACACCCGCACCCACACCCTGCTTGTTTTAAATCTTTGTCATTTCGAAGATTTTGTATGTCGGAAAATCGTAAAGAAAGGTTGATGTGAAATGTCTCTTTCGCAAAGAATCTATCTGATAAATGATGGTATAATATATTTTAATACAAACCTTTAATATCATAACGATCCTTTGGAATTTTATGTCGTGTAATAAGTATAGGAAATGGATCACGACCATCATTAGCTTTATGTACTTCTCGTACTTCCATTGTATCATTAACTAAATAGTATTGAATAATAAATTCTCGTTTCTCTCCAAACATTTGTGATCGATCATCCCAAATGGCATAAAATCGTAAAACTTTTCTATCCATTTCAACAAATTGTTTAAGTTTATCAAAATCATTTCTAGTTTTATATGATTTTAATTCATTTACATGATTACGTTTTGTTATATATGGATCACGTGGAATCATTTCTGGTTGATTTACATGTAAACCTTCACTTTCAAGCCATTCCTAAATTAATAGAAGAAAACAACTATGTATACAAGAAATATTTTCCTTCTCTTACACGAGTAAATGCATCACAATCACAAATACGAAATACTTTTCCATAAATAGCTAAATTTTGTGCAAGATTAAGATCACGAAAATTATATGTTTCACCTTGATCATTTTTTGGAAAACGATGACGACGTATTAATTTTCCTTGTGGAATTCCACTATTTTCCTGTACTTCTTCATGTATTTCTAAACTATCATCTTCAAGATAATAGAAAATTTTCACTGGTCGTACACGATAATATTCATTAGGACTTTCAGGCACTGTTTGTTTAAAATATCCAAAAAAGCGAAGAACTTTTTTATCCAATGCTAATGTAGCTGGAACGAATTTATCAGGCACTTGAACAACACATTTACCATAAACTAATTCAGGACGATAATTTCGAAGAAGTTCTGCTTCATCTTCGCTCATTTTATTGTAATTAATACGTGTACCACCTAAACATCAATAAAAAAAATATGTATATAAAGAAATTCTTTTACCTAATCCAACTTCTGGCCATTTGGTAACTCGATGACCATTTTTAAGTTCGAGTGTATGACTGACATGAAAATTACTTTGCTAAAGTAGAAAAATTTTCCTAGACAAATAGAATAAATTAGAAACATACTGTTGGATCAGAGAATGAATTTCCTGGTAAACGTGATAGACCTTCCATTTACTGTTCTCTTGCGTTTACTCGACAATGAGTTGTTATGAACTATTCAAAAGAAATACTGTTGCTATCGACTGTCTTTCTTTTTTTCGGTGATGCGAGTGGTTTTTTCATCTTAGTTGCCTAGGTGCAACCGTGAAAAAATCCATCATAGTTCCGTTTAAATTTTTCAAAATCTTTTAGAATGACTTTTTCAATGAGATATTTGTATTTAAAATTAAATTAGATATTATAATGAGCTAAACAAATAGATGTCGCAAACAAATGAATTATTTGATACATGAGTACTATCAAAAAAAAATGATTGATTATTTTCTACATGAAACCTGAAGGTGAAGAGCGTATAAGTGAGTTAAGAATAAAGTTAGATGTTCAATGAAAATATCGTGTTATATCATGAGCGGGTCCAGGATTTCCATAAGGGGGTGGCGGTTTATAGAAAAAATTGAAAGTAGTACTTTTTTAGGAGAGAAATCTAGTTTTCAGTATTTTTTAAAGTATCTATTTTCGAGGGGATAGCGATCACCAGTTCGCTGAATAGCTAGATCCGCCCCTGTATTATATGACTATATTAAAAGTAAGATAATGAAAAGCTCGTATTACTATTAAGAAGGTCCAATGATTATACAACATTTTTCATTCGATTTCTAGAGTCAAATGATACAATATCGAAGAAAAAAGATCATTAGAGAATGAGAACAAAGGATGCATTATGGGTTCTCATTTTTAGTGTTATACATATGGCTATTGTCATTCAATCTAGTTGACACTTCAATTTTTAACCTTTTTAGAATAGGATTCTTTTCAACAGAATTGTAATACTTGCATTTAGTTAGTTTGTTTATTTTTACCGAGCTTCATTTACTTTCCTTGTATGGTTGCCTCGAGGAATAGCAAGTACTATAATAATACAAAAATCAGATGCATCTAGATATCTAGCATCTGTCACAAAAACTCAAAATATATTAGAAGTAATCGTGATTATTTCTTTAGCCTTATCGTTTACAAAACATGATATACAAGAAATTTAGTTCCGTTTCTGAATGTTTCAATTGAAGCACTTGTCAACTTCACTATTCAAATAATGGTACAAACTTTTGCTCAGACAGTTTTTGACTACATGAATTTCATTTGGTAATATAACTTTAATATATAAATATAAACTCTCTATAATATATTGATCTTTGTATTATGGTGAAAGTAAGGAAGTGCTTAATAAATATCTGGAACTTGAGTGAGCAGTGCTTGTGTCAGAATGACCCATCTCTGATATATATACTATATAAATCAAGCAAATACTGACATCTATCGATATGATTAGATGTCATTAAATCAGACTAATATTATTTTCAAAGTTGTTTTTTTCAATAAAAATAAAATTTGATAAACTTTCGAAAATTTTCTTAAAAAAATCGTCATTTTCTTTTGCTACCTACTTTTTTGTTTATTCCATAAATTACCAGATAGAAATGACTAGTGAATAATGATATTACTCCAGAACTTTCGTAATTTCTTCTTTTTTTTACACTTTATAACACAATGCAAATTCTTTTTAAGCTACATTTATTTTTTTATTAAATTATTTCATAGATTAAACAGCAGAAAAAAGAACATGCAAATCTTTGTTCGTGGTGCCGCTGAGCTCATCCCGCTCGAACTTGAAAAAGATGATACTGTACAAGACATCCGTGTATGTTATTCTTACAAATTCAAACAATCAACAGAAAAAACAGACGTTATATTAATTTTTCATTTTAGGAATATATTGCTGATGAATATGATGTTGATATGGATGAACTTGTCATTAGTTACAATGGAACACCAATGAATGATGAACAAACAGTTGAACAATTCGGTTTCGTATCTGGTTCAACACTTGATGCTACAGTTAAATTATTTGGTGGTAAAGTTCATGGTTCATTAGCTCGTGCTGGTAAAGTTAAAGGTCAAACACCAAAAGTTGCTAAACAAGAAAAACGCAAGAAGAAAACCGGACGTGCCAAACGTCGTCTTCAATATAAACAACGATTCGTTAACAAAGTTGCTGCATTTGGTCGCCGTAAAGGACCAAATTCAAATCAACCAGCATCCACCTAAACATCCAAAATAAAACGAAAACAAGTCTTTGATTTATTTTTCTCTAATTATTCGATTTCATTTTAAAGAGAAAACTTGACGATATGTTCGTTTTTTGTTTTTGTTTTTGAATAAAAAAAAAACCTTAACATTAACATGAGAAGATAAAAATAAAATTTTATTTTAATTTTTAACTTTCTATAGAAATAAAAAAAAAAACCTAATAAATAAAATGAATCAAAAGAAAACAATTCCAACATTAATTGTTCTTGGTTCTGGTAAGTTTAACTATAAAATATATATATATTCATTTAAATATGATCAATAGGTGGTCATACAACGGAAATGTTTCGTCTATTATCAGGCACTGATTTAAATATATATAAACCAAGATATTATACAATTGCAACTACAGATAAAATGAGTGCAAAGAAAATGAATGAATTCGAATTAAATGTGAGCATTGATTTTATTTTTCTTGATTTCGAATAACTAGATCTATTATAAAAACATCAGTCGAATCCGATTTGTTCACAGAAAATGATATTGTTAACTTGAGATCAATTGAGTCTGCTCAAATTGAGTATTTGATCTAGTCAAGATATATCGTTTTATTTATTTAGACTTTAAAAGATATGGATGTATCATTTATCAATCGAAGTCGTCATGTTGGTCAAAGTTATTTTAGTTCAATATTTACAACTCTTTGGGCGTTTTTTACAGTTATTCCAATAGTTTATCGTGTTCGACCTAAACTTGTAAGTTTTTTTAATAAATTTTCAAAATTTTTTATAATTTTTATCGTTAATTAGATTCTTGTGAATGGACCTGGTACATGTATTCCAATTGTTATAGCAAGTTTGTTATTATGGGTAAATAATTTTTGTTTTTAAATTAATTATTTCGATTTCTTCTTATAGGTTTTATTTCTTATCAATCGACCGAAAATTATTTTTGTTGAAAGTATATGTCGTGTGCAATCTTTATCATTAACTGGTAAAATTCTTCAATATCTACCTGTGCATATTCTTGTTCAATGGCCACAATTAACTGAACATTATCCAAAAACGCAATATATTGGACGACTTGTTTAATGAACTTTTTATTTTTTTTAATATATATATACAGACATATCGAAATTTATATTCAATAAAGATTATTATATTCGGGAATAATTATTTATTAAACAATACTATTAATAATCATAAAAAATGAAATTATATTTCGTAAAATTTGACAGAAAATACAAATTTTTCAATATAAATGGCAATGGTTGATTTGATGATGCTTTTATTTGTATAGTCTATGTAGAAAAGTCTTTATTAATCACATACAATATGAATATAATTTATCTTTAAAATAAATTCGACTTGTTCAATCAATCTAGTTCAGTTTCTCCTGTGTTTGTATTTTATAAATATTAAAGCAAAGCAATGATAAACAATGTATCATTTATATTCTCAGTTGAATTGTTTATAATACGAACTATGTACATCACGCTAAGCTTTAATTTCATTTCTAGGATAGATAATACATTTCTCTATCGATTTATTTGTATACCAGCTATGAAATCATATGTTTTTTTTTCGAAACGTCAATTCAACTATATAAGACATATTTGTTCTTTTATTAAAAGAAAAAAACGTTAATAGATTTGAATTCTTGTTTAAAACTTTATCGTCATCTCTCGTTCTTCAAAATAATCGATTTAAAAAGTAAATAGCTAGAAGATTCAGAATCATGAAATAAAACAACTTCAGTTGACACATTCTCTAGATTGATTTTCTCAAAAAGGCAATTGTTCGGCTTGTCCACGTAACGCAACACTTCTCCAATCAAGTTTTGAACAATCACCTACACGCAGTTTTTAATGCTATTTGCGAATCTGACATTTATTTTCGAAAAAAAAACAGATTTTCTTATCGAAAACTGAGTTTTAAACTTTCCAAAAATCGTACTTTGAGTTTTCTAACCAAGAAAGTTATCCAAAACAAATGCCGAGAGACAAACCATTCAATGCAGAATTTCATTCTCTACAAAATGGTCTATTTAGTTTTGATCTTAATAGCTCGTATCAACTTTTTACCTCTTATACAATTCACTACTTACTGTTCATTTTTAGAGCTCCCTTGTGAATGTATTAATCTTATTCTTTCGTACACGTTTATCTACACAGTAAAGACTAATCGTTAAAAAATTCAAATCATTCGGATCATATTAACTACATCAAAAACGGCTGACAAAAAATGTGTAACAGTGTTACGCGACAATACAATCATTCTAGATATCCGAGACTTCAGCAAAAACATATCTTTTTTCATAGGATAAGTAGGGTACGATATATTGCATCGAATGACGTTTGAACGAACGTTCTAGCTATTAAACTTTCCGAGATGATTCAAGAAGAGTGTGTCAAAAACGTAACGCTGTTATGTTCGAATAAGTCGTGTTGTTTTTTTTGTAAGAAGAATATGTAAATTGAGGTAGTTTTATTCGATAATTCTGAATCCACTATTAATTCACTTCTCAAACTAATTATTTTAAATGATGAGAGATGGTAAGTATATATCTATAATTATTTAACTCTTTAAATAAAATATCTTTATACTTGAATATAAATATTATCCAGACCAGTAAAAAATGAAAAAAGAACACATACTGACGTTTATTTTTCTTGGAGGAAAAGGCGATTAGTTGACAGTCAGTGTTCGATAAGAGCTTTTTCCGTGAAAACGTATTTTTTTTAACACGTTAAAGTATGCATGCACTTATATAAACGAAAAACAATGGTATTTTTCGTTATTTCTATGACTAGACAACGTAGCAAAAATCAATAAATTCATAAGAACTTTGTACCTCTGTTAGCTGTATCATTTCTCGGTGCATTTATATTCATTATTTATCCAAAAATAAAATTTATTTATTATTCGAACAATCTTTTAATATTATTTAACGAAATATTTTTAATTCAAGGTATGTTATATTCATTTAATGATACTTAACTCTTTAATGACTGAGAATTAATTTTTATATATTTACACCTTAAAAGACAAATTTGATATGTGTAGTCTGCAAGACGCCAGTACAGTTGTTTTTCGAAGAATATTAGAAAATGATTAACGTATAATATCAATAGGAATTTCAATGGATTCATTGAAGACTAACGTTGACAGACTGAAAAAAAAACACAGCTGTTTTATATATGTAGTATTTTATGATTAAAAATAAATTTTCATATATATAATAAGCATTTCTGTATACCTATATGTCAACATGTACGAATACTGTCCGCGAGTGTAAGGCAAATTACTGACTAAAGAATTGTAAATCAAAAGAGATTTTTGCGTGGGTCATTCTATTAAAATAGCATCATGTACAAACAGATATTTCTAACAAGATGAATTACGTGAATAATAAATTTAAGTATTGAAAACATTACGTGTACTCTTTAGTAGGTGACTTTTCTACCCATATTTTTATTTGTACGTGGGTATTTTTTCTATCAAAGTCTTCTTATCAAATAAAATTATGATTTCATAAATTTCAATCCTATCGACTTTAATCGTCATGGAACTAATCTTATTGTTTAACAGTGAATACAATGTGTACATTAACAAAGATAATTTTTGGTTCAGTTATGCTAATACTAGTTGAAAATGTATTAGCGAATCAATCATTCAAGACTGACAAGGTGTGCAATATAACACGAGAAATACTTTGTGTAAGAGATGAATTATTGAAGACTGCAACTGCTGTTCGAAATATTAATCGAACATTAAATGAAATTGAAAGAAATATACTTATTTCAACTACGATTAATGAGACATTACATCGGTATATAAGCTTTGAAACAAGATATATTCAAATTCAATTACCAACACCACAAAATCACGCAAATTTTTTTAAAAATAGTAATATAAATAAGGTAATGATAACCGTAGTTTTTATTGTGCTCTTTTTATCTATCACTTTTTTCTCTTTTAGACATATCTCATTGATTTATTATTGGAAGCACA